TCTGGAACTGCGAGTTACATGGATGGTGTGGGTCGTCATGATAATCTCGAACAGTCTTTCACCCTGCCCATTCCATTCCACTCCGTGTATCCCGATGTGAAGCTCTTCAGCCGTTCTTCTACGGCCAATCTTGGCGTAAAATCACCGACGATGACCTTGAAGAAAGTGTGGTCTTCTCTGTAGAGCCTCTCCAGATCCATATAAAACGCTTCCAACTCCTCTTCTTCGTAGCTCGATGTTGGTGCGTAAGTAACGAAGATGGTTAGAGCTGCGATTGAGCCACATCTTCTTAATAGCAAACGTCCGGTTCGGGTTGTTAAGTTTTCGTACGAATCGATGTTCATGGCCAAGTGCGTATTGACGAGGACACCTACGCCGCCGACGCCTCTACTGTCGCATGTTCCAAGGAACAGTTCTTCTCCAGTCTCAAATGAGCGTGCAGCGGGCGATGCCTTTTCGTCTCGGTCAGTCCGATGACGTCGTACTTGATCTTCCTAGCTTGCATCATCAGGTCTTCTATACACGCTTCCGATGCAAGCGTCCGTACGTTGAAAGTACAGATCGCCATCCTAGTCCTCCTTTTGGGCAGCCTGTTTTGGCCCTGAGATTTTAGCAGCCTCTCCCGAGCGGTCCTACCCAACGCTGCCGTGTTGCGGGCTCCCTTAGGTTCAGGGGAATGAGGCCCAATTCTATTACTGTTTTTGGCGTGAAGATACCCAACGTGCAGCTTGCCAGGCTCTGACGTGGGGGCTATTGACTTCGGGGGCTTGCCAGGCTATCCCGAAGAACACAGTCATAATAACATATGAAAAATACTGCAAGGTAGCAAGTTTTGATATAATTGAAGAATATCCTCATAATATTGTCTGGTACGGTCCCTTGAATTGATAAGAAAATGTGAAATGTTTTCAGCCATCCTCCAATATACTACTGAATTTATTTCCTGTCAAGGCTGCCCGGATAAGAGCCCACGGCATATAGAGCGAGCTTGTCGCAAAAATAATTTCGCATGGAACAAGGCAGTTGTCGTAGGGAACCCGTATCAATAAACAAGGAATTGATGCGCATCGAGGACAGGATAAATAAGTTCTACAGTCTAATCGAAAAGAATGTTATTTATTTCAGGTACAAAAATGCCTTTCATAGATGGTTCAACCTTAGGCCGAGGAAAGTAGAGGGTCTAGCACTTTTTCTACCGACTGCTGGATGGCAGTCTGTCAGGAAAAAGAAAATGCTGAGTTGTTCTGCGAAGTTTCTGATAAAGCTTATGAAAAAAATTGTTGATGATTTTTTGTAACAAGGCAGTAGATTTCTATTGCAGCACGTATTGCCGGTCAAGAGTGACTCAGTTTGGTTTGCAGAAGAGAGATACATGATTAGTATTCAGTTGGCTCAAAGCCCGCTCGGACACGCCAGACCACGTTACACTGGAATTTATAAAACAGGTGGCTAGTTTAGTTGCACAGGCTCGAACATTCATACAATTTGTTTCGAGCCGAATGAAAACTGAAGTGCAGAAAAGGTGGACTTATTCATTTGTTACGCCTATTCCTAACATTCATGCCCTTCTAATCATAGGCCAGTGAGGACAAGCATGACATTTCTGAACACCAGCATTGCTTCGAGAAGGGCAAGTCAACAGTGACAGCTATGCTACAAGCACTCGACGACTGAACTACGCACCTTGATAGAGGGGTATGAATTCATGTGATTCAATACGACTTTACGAAGGCCTTCGATAGGGTATTCCATGAAAAGCTGGCAGCAGAACTCTTACGGGTAGGCATTCATCCCGGAATCGTAGAGTATATTGTGCAGTTTCTTACCGATGCTTCCTATCACCTATCAAGTTCGTGCTAAGAATGTATCTACGAAACCTAGATCAATGCGTAGTGGGGTATAATACTGCTACCAATTCACGGTCAACCGACGGTTTGCGACAGATTAATTCGTCGCAGAGCGTCGCTTTGCCATAACCTAGGGCAAAGTACTCCAATCAAGCTCAATGTAAGTTCATCGGAGAGCTCCTTTCGTGAATGATCCAAAAATATAATGATCTTTTGATTTTTGTCAAACTTTCCACCTTCTTTTCCGGAAAAACGAAAATTGAGTCTTTTAGCACCTGGGCTGTTTCTAGATTTCTGAACGTTTGTTACTTCTTCCAGCCACGTATTTCGTATGACAACCGTATTATTGCTTGTGGCTAATTCTGTCATGTCAAGAATTTTTAATTTCTTCAACTATGCAGCACGATTTTCGTGGAGGTCAAAGAGTGTTCAGCACTGGAGCTACTTCCTGAAGATATAACATAAACTCAAACTCTCCACTTTAATAGACAACTTCATTCATAGTTTTTTAAAGACATTCAGAATGTGGACACATGGAATCATGCTTATTTGATATCCCTAATGATAGAATTCAGAATGTTTCACCTGAAAGCAGTGATTTCACTGATCAACTTTTCAAGAATTCTTGGGAACGAATTATTCTGCATTTACTCAAAGGCTTCCATTATGTGATCTGATATTCTGATAATAGAAGGATGAATGGCCTCCCAATCGAACGTTGAGCTAATTGACCCCTCACCATCGATATCTATTGGCCCATCGCCTTCGCTATTGCCGAGTTCATTTAAGAGTGCGCCCGTTGACACATATTGGTATGCAACTGGCAGGTTGGAACGACCACGCTATGATAAATACTGTTTGACTGTGTATATAAAGTCTAGTTGTACCACCACAAATCGCGTGTAAATTTTCGCTTGTTCAAAGGCGCTATCTTGATTTGGCCCTTAGCTTCCCATTTGGAGGGAACTGGGAGGCACTGACACTCAACCGAATGACACCGAATTAGCACAGAGAAGCACACATTGCTGGCCAACAACGCTGTTGTTCCAGCGTTTCAGCGAGCATGAGACTCCCTGCATGCTTTCCCTCTGCGCCATTGGCCGGATCAACTTGAGAACATTTCAATTAACCATGTAATGCCGGTTAGGCTGGCTGCGGTAATCGTAGAAGGTCGATCGAATTCTGATCTGTCAGGTCACGTTGCGACATGATTCACTACTAGTCTTGTTAAAAACTCACATTGTGCTCAAAACACAAATATAATTATATTTTATACGATAGGGTTGATTAAAATGTTCTAAAGTTGAGCCGGTCAATGGCGCAAAGGGAGTGCATCCGTCTCGTATTTGCAATCGACCTGGATTCCATATGGGTTCGGATCCTCAGTCGTGCACAACGCTTGCAAACGCTGAAACAACAGCGTTATTGGCCAGCAATGTGTGCTTCTCTGTGCTAATTCGGTGTCATTCGGTTAAGTGTCAGTGCCTCCCTGTTTCCACCAAGTGGGAAGCTGAGGGGCAAATCAAGATGGCGCCTTTGAACAAGCAAAAATTCACAAGCAATTTAAGATAGTACAACTAGACGTATTACACACAGCCGAACAGTATTTCTCATAGCATAGTCGCTTCATCCTGCCAGTTGCATACCAATATGTTCAACAGGTGCACTCTTAACACGTTGGCGACCATGCGTTCCGATGTCTGGACGCAGGTTTTTGGCTCGCTGGGATATTTATGTTATTCATCAGGTGTTCCTATACTTTTTTTCATGTTTTCATGTATGAGCTGAGCTCACAGCCTTCTAGAGAATCTTGAAGCATTGCGGTCCAGGAATCATTCATTTCTAACTACAGATATAAGAGAAAATAAAGATTAATGTAAGGACAATATAAAAGCGCGGTCGACAATGAGGGAAATGGACACGGCAATAGCGAAGGCGATGGGTCAATAGAGATTGATGGTGAGGGGTCAATTAGCTCAACATTCGATTAGGAGGCCATTCATCCTTCTATTATCAGAATATCAGATCAAATAACGGAAGCCTTTGAGTAAATACAGGATAATTCGTTCCCGAGAAAGTGCTCTCCTGAAATGAACTAGCAATTTCTTGAAAAGTTTATCAGCGACGTCACTGCTTTCAAGTGGAACATTTTGAATTCTATCATTAAGCATATCAAAATAAGCATGATTCCATGTGTCCACATTCCTAATGTCTTGAAAAAACTCAGAATGAAGTTGTCTATTAACCCGTTGACGACCATGCAGTCCACATGTGACTGCACATTTCCGGCCATGTGGGACCGTGCAATCCACATGTGGACTGCAGTTGTATTTTTTTGTTTTACTCATCTATACTTCCATTTTTTACAATTTTTCTTAGAACATTACATCAGGCCTAAATGCAACTACATACGGCGTGGTCCTGGAAAATCTAAAATTTTACAATTGTAAAGGGGTTTTTTCGAAGGAGTATATTATCTTGGTGAATTCTTCGTCCGTTGAACAACTTCAAAAAATGAGATATTTCTAGAAGACGGTCGTCATTAGCATTTCCGTTGTTATCGACCAAACGCAAATCTCTCAGCGCAACACAAATAAAAGTTCCCCGAAACGATTTCTGGTAATGATTGAACTCAAAATTGAATGACCACTAAACCGAGTGCCGGTTCTGTAATAAAGATCAATAATCACTCAGTGTGGGCACTCTTACCAAACTCATTTGATGGAACATTCCTAGGAACTTATAATTTCCTCTTATAAACTTCAAAAAATGGTCATGCTGGACCATGAAGTCCACATGTGGGCTGCAGTCGCGGTTGGACGAAAAGCGCTGGTCCCTCGCGGCGCATTCCCTGCAAAACGTCGTGGTCGTCAATGGGTTAAAGTGTATAGTATGAGTTTATGTTATATCTGCAGGAAGTACCTCAGGTGCTGAACACTTCTCTCACACACATTCTTTCACCTTCATGAAAATGATGGTGCATAATTGAAGAAATAAAAAATTCATGACATGACAGAATTACCCACAAGCAATCATACTAAATACGCGGCCGTAAGAAGTAACAAACGTTCAAAATTCTAGTAATTTGCTTTGCACCGCTGCTTTCAGCTGAAAGTATTCAAATTAGGTCATGAAGGGTATTAAAATGAACAGGACTCTATGCTCCCCTCAATTATAGCACGATTCAGGTCTTTTAAAACTGGAAACGAAGTTTCCAGTTGAAGTGGAGGGTTTACGATGCTATCATATCCGCAAGTAACACCCCAAATGCTGAGAGACTCAATTTTCGTTTTCCTCGGAAAGGAAGGTGAAAATTCCGAAAAAATTAAAAGATCATTATATGTTTGGATTCTTCATGAGAAGAGCTTTCCGGTACTTTCAGCTTGATCGGAGTACATGGGCTGAAGTTATGGCAAGGCGACAGTTTGCGACGGATTAATCCGCCGCAAACCGTCGGTCGACCATGAATTAGTAGCAGTATTGTACCTTATAGTCCCACCTTCCATCCTCTTCAATAGCTGAACCTAAGAACTGCCACAGCTGCTCATGGCTGGAGTTAAATTGTGCAGCTCCTGCTGACAGTCTTAAAGTATACTAAACCATACAATCCGATCACGTCTGGTTCGGACAAGGAAACGCTACTTCGCCTCCGCCTGGGTAATGTCGACTGTTTGCGCTCAATTGATAAGGTGGCGTAGTAAACGAAATCGGAAGCATCGGGTTCGTAGTTCGTAGTGATCTCAGTTTCGATGAACACCGTTCACCAAGGGCTTCTGAAGCAACGATTGCAATGTATAATTAGTTCGAATCTCCCATAAAGAGAGATTAGCAGTAGATTATTCTTGAGTATGGCACTGTGGGGTGCAACCCATACACAGTAAAAGTAAGAAACTTTGAAAAAATGCCTAAAATTGTTTAACGAGAAAGGTTATTTTTGAGTAATCAATTTCAGTTACAAACAGATTCGTAGTAATGGAGGTGGAACGTCGTCTCGACAATGAGACGCCTTCCTTCCCATAGAAAGAATTTGCCTCCCTTGCTTTCCAAGATCCCATATTACAACATTGTTCTTAAGCCTGGAAATCCATTTCAATTAAGAATTCAATTCGGGGGGGGGGGGGGGTACTTTTGGAATATCGCAACTCGCGGGGCGGAACAATGTTAATCACCTCATGTTTCTCCAGATTGAAAGTATTCACTATTGAGGCAAAATCAGTTCGTTTGAGGCCGCTTCAGGCAAGTATCTTACCTCATGGCTTTTAAATATTTTCTAAAATTTCTTTCCGCTCTACAGTCAGCTATCTTTCCGCTCTTTGTTGAACGGAGTCCATAACTGTTATTTTTCCTTACTCTATGCACCATAAAGGAGTGTCTGTGTAATAAACGAATCCAAACTACAACGGCTGAGAATCGCGACCGTTGAATGGTAGAAAAGCAAGTGTAATCTAATCTGTTGCACCGTTCTACAGGGTGCGTCAAAATTATAGCGACAAGGTATTAGAATCGTCTCGAACGACTTGTTTACAATTTTAGCGAACTTCCAATGCAACAACGTTCATTGTTCACCTCAGAATTAAAAACATTCAATAAATCTCGAAAATTCCTCCGTCGGTCTCGACGCATGAGTTGAGACGTTCGGGGAAAACATCGACGTGGCACGCAAGTATCGCACGCTGAGCTTGTTCCGCGTCTTCCCAAGAGCTCTTTTCAGCGAATCCACGGAGCGATGAGGTTTCGAGCAAGCCTCTGCCTCCAGAACGGCTCACACACTGTAGCTCATTAGATTTAGTTCGGAGAGCAAGCCGGCCACTCGCTAAAGGCGATTACGTCGGGGAAGTTTTTCTTGCACCACTGTTGCTCGGTAGTCGACCTGTGAGCGGGGGCTCCATCCTACAAGAAGGTCCAGAAGCGGTTTCCAAAGTGAGAATTAGCCCAGGGAGCAGTTTATCCTCTAAATAATGTTCATTCTCGCGACATCCTGCGAGCCGACTGCGATGGCTGTCTCCGAATCCTCTCACGTACCTTCCTTATATTACCCGTGGTAGTGACGGTGGCACGCCTTACTCTTCCGGGTCGGTCGTTCTCAACTCCTAGCTCCCTGTAGCTTTAAATGGTCCTGTGGATGACACCGCGATGCACACCAAGACGCTGGTGGATTTCGCGTGCCGAAACTTCTTAGAGATGAAGTTTGGTGATAGCAGAGCGGTAGCAGGATGACTTAACCATTGTTGCTGTAATAAATTTGAGCGGTTAAATAGTTTGGTATGGTAGGGCCAATATTAAAATAGGGAGAGATTTTGGTGATTGAATTGTGATTTTGAAAAGCGGTCCAAAAAGTGCGCGCATGTGCTGTCACCATAATTATGACGCACCCTCTATGTGAATGCCTCCATTAACACTAATGGTTGAGGTGGTTATTAAAATAGATAAAGATGAAAACCGAGCAAAAGTCGATGCTGCCTGTATCTGTTGGGTAAGCTGTTTCGTTGAATCTAAGAAGTGATTAGATCAGTGGAGAGGTAAGGAAACAGATAAATTGTAATTGAAATACGCAAACACAGCAATTTTGAACCACGAGCAGTTAGACCTTCTAAGAGACTTGAGTCTCCGCGCATTACATGCGATTTACTGATTGTGAGAAGAATAATCGCTATCATTGTGGTTAGCTGTAGCTACACACAAAATGCGAAATTTCAATATGTGTAACATGGGTGTATTGTGAATGTTACCACTAGTAACCCCCAATCTGATTATGTTCCAGATATCCTTAAGAGCATGAGCTCAAACACAACTGAAAATATGGATAATGATCCTTCTGAAATTACATTCCCTTTGGCCATGTCTAAAGTGTACGATCGCTAATACCGAACACAGTAGAGAAGAAAAACGCACATAAGGTGCTAATAACTACAGATGTGTCTAACTTTGCTTTTAGCGAAGTCTGCCTCCGCAACAAACACCTTGCTCTCAGTCAGGTAGATATTGCTGCTTTGCAGTGAAATAGGGTTGGTTACTGTGAAATATGCTTTCATGCTTTCGTTAAACATAATAGCATATAGTGATACATATAAAAATTTCGCGCGATTCGCTTCACTAAGAAAAAAGTTATGATCGAAAAAGCTTAAGAGCGTTTGCCGAAGACTTTTGAGCGCTACTGTATGAAGCAGTAACCTGGTGTGTCGGTTGTTGGGTTTGTGCGCTTGTCGATTTGACACTTTGCCTGTCTGTCGGTAAATTTTACGATTACGATGAAGGTAGTTATACCAAAACCCAGCACTATCCCACATTTCCTTCTTATATGTAAAACAGTAACTCGGTGAGTAGATTAATGGAGTAGAGTAAGTATGGAATGAAGCGAGAATTGTGGAGCGAAGTGAGTACATTGAAGCTATGATTTTGATCTGTATGTCTATTTAATAAGGCGAGTCAATCGAATATTAAACTCGGACCTCATCCTAGCTTCTTGCACGAGGTTATCACCCTCACCCCTGTGACCCCCCCCCCCCCCTCAAGCTTATACCAAAACTATATTTTCTGCCTAGAACAACTCGAAGCACAGGTATGGTCGGGTCCTCCTTTTTCTCTGTACTCAAGCCCTCGATGTTGAATGAAAGCTATGACCCCTCAACTATATTTTATAACTACTTTGTAAAAGTAAGGAGTGGGGCTCGGCGAGAACCAGGCGACCCAACTTGTAGTATCTGATACTTGCAGTGCATTCCGCCATGCACAGCATGAAATGATGTGTTCCGAAGCTCTCTCTTTATGTTAAAATAAGTTTTACCACTTCCATGAAGAATCACCGAGTCACTTCACAAATGATTGGGATTACAATAATTCAAGCCTACCTTATTTGGACAGTCGACGATGTACTTGAAGAGCTTATTTACCGTTCGAATAGTATTTTGCAACACATCAAATCTGCGCAGCCACTCGCTCCGCATGTCATTCATAGCTCTAAAAATACTTCTGCTCGCAGAGTAAAGCAAAACGGATTCCTGAATCAAATGTTGTCCGTGTGATGAACAAGATTTTACTCCTTTGACGTGTCCATTACTAGCGCGTTTTCATAGAGCCAGTAGAACTGCTCGAGTAAATCCAGAGCTTTACGACCACATTCGAATGGAAGATAGAACATATCTACCAACAAGGATATCTGATCAAAATCCGCCAACTCAAACCTGAAAGTGCTCGCTCAGAGAGTGGTAAAAAAAGAAAAATACAAACCACTGAATTGTCAACATACCTGTGCGTGTCGGCCATCACAACATCAGGAGAATCGATCGAATTGGTCACAGCAGCAGCCACTCGCTCGTTCTAAAAAAATCATGATGCCGACACCAAACTTTTTTATTCCAGCATGCCGAGGAATTAAGAACCTAGTTCGGATTTAATAATAGAGATAAATCAAAGTTGAACAAAAAGCGTAGCATCGACGCCATTGCTTTGCCTCTTCTTTCCGATCAAGCTTTACAATACAAAAATTGCGCGTCTAAAACTGGAAATCAGAAAAGGAGCTATGAAGAGTTCTTTTACCTCACATATTGTTTTACTTTCGTAAATTGCACTTTGTTTTACGTGATTGTTACCCTATGTAGGTGCTTCCACGTAGAAAAAGGCCATATTGCTCAATTCACATTAAGAAGCACGGATCCTACTTACTATAACGAGCTTCACTTGTCGTCTGTCTGTCGTTCTGTCTGTGTGTCTGTCACGAAATTCCATAGCTCCTTTAGATCTCCCTGGAGAGAGCGGGTCAAGCGTGGCATGGGTGGGCCATGTCCCAAGAAGTATAAAGCACACACCAGCTTAGCGGAGCCCCACCCACACTGGGCGTGGCGTGCATCGAAATGAGCTGTACTGAGGGCCATGATTTCAAAATCAGTCACAAGACGGCTTCAAAACTGGGGTGTAAGGTGGTTAGAGGTGTGCATTGGGAAGGTAGATCGAACTAGTTAGACCCACCCCCGATGGGCGGGACGTTCTCCAAAAATGCAATGCTTTGAAAAAACATTTATAACTCGGTGTAGAGAAAGCCAAAAGAGCACGAAACAGTTGATGTAGGGGGAGCTTTGTCGGAGGTGTCTCCAGCATAAAGGACGTCAGCGGAGGCCCCCCTACAATGGGCGAAGCTTACCTTGAAGCTCAAATCCCTTCTTACAATTATATACAAAAATTCATAACTCCAGTTTCCATGGACCTAGAGCGTTCAAACTTGGTAGGAGTACAGGCGGCATGACGGCAACACTCATGGTGGTGGTAGAACCGGAGTCCGCGGGTTTGTGTGAAAAATCATAACTCCCGACCTCGTAGACCAAGAGCTTCAAATTTCGTAGGAGCATGGGCAGCAGGGTGGGAACATCTATGGTGGGTGGCAGGACCGGACTCGTCTCACAAGGGGCGGGGTTTGCGTGAAAAATCATAATTGCTGTTCCTGTAGACCTAGAGCGCTCAAATTTGATGGGTGTGCAGGCGAGAGGATGCTGTTCATATTGGCACTCTAACAAGCTGTAGGTAAGCGGTAGTGGGCGTGTGGTACATGCGTTAGCGTGCGTTGGCCAAGTGGTTACGATAAAACTGGCTTCCTGGAATGAGCATGTGGCCCCCAAGAATAGCACGAGGAACATTGTCTGCGTGCTCCAAAATATGGCCGCGTTATGGCGACCTCGTAAAGACTGCACCACTCACAATAATGCGTTAAAACAAATACGAGTAGTACGCTTTGTAGGGGATACTAAGACGATAACAGACGGCCATGCACTTCTACGAAGCCTGAACAACGCGCTTCTTTTTCGAGGGAGCTTTCTTATGCTCCGAACTAAGCCTTCTGTATTATCAATACGCCCAGTGGAATACAGCTTTTGCCTTTGCGCTTTTTATGCCATTGCAGCAGCCGATAGCTCGTCCGGATACCCCTTTTTCACGCTTCAGTCGTCATAACCTATTTTCAGGCCATTTTTCTCTTTCTTAAATCATCATTTTCCTTATATTCCGATTTTTTTCGTGCTTTCTTCGCTACTTTTGCACTATTGTGCACATGACTTCTTTTAGGAGGAGGCGGTGTAGTGTCAGTGCACTATCGCACACGCATGATCATGGATCCGAGTTCAAGATCGACATCCGCCTGCGCCGATTTTCGGATCTTCCTTTCAGTACTGGACTTGCCTGAGAGGATGTAAGCACTGAGTTTCGCATTCGTTGGTCACGGCAAGAAACTGTGCAGGACACAAACGCATCCGAATCGCCACTACGGTTTTCAATAGGAAGTGAAAAAAGAAGGCCCGTCACTTGGATGGGATCGCTTAGCGCCAAGGAACTTTAACCATTTATCCATCCGTCTTCCATAATTTCTTATTACAAAGATACTTTAGAATTATCGCTAAATGTGCCTTTTAAACCAATTTAACAACAAGACCAGGTGAAGGAATTTTTCATTTGCAATGGTTTGTCTTAAAGGCACAGTTCACGATAATTCAATATGCGGGAACGTCAATGCCTTTCCCGCCTTTCGATCGATGTCACGTCATCACGTCAGACGAGTGTCGAGACAATAAAGATTGCAACTATTCGTCCTAAGACCCACACACAATCAGCTAGTCGCCGAGTGATGAGGCTGTGTTTTTCTCTCATTCTTTTTTCCTGTTTTTCTTTTTGCTGTCGCGATCCCTTATTTAATATCCTACTCCTATAGGCTGAAAAGGTGAGCTACTTTTGCTGTTACTAGAGTTTTTTGTTTACTTATGCTTTTAAGTGAATGAATTTTTGCTTACAATAGTCTGTAATTCGTACCAGGACCCACACGTACGCAGTGAGACACACTGTATAGCTCGCCCAAATGCCCCACTCTTCTTCATTTTTTCGGTCTCATTTTCGTCCAGCGGTTTTTTTGAAGACTCTTTTCACTTTGGAAACACCGATCCACGCAGTTTCTCCACCTTCATCGCACTATTTTCGACCTCATCTTCCATTTTCCATCATAAGCTGGATTACCCCAAATTATCGTGAACTGTGCCTTTGAGTCCCATCATGACCGAGCGCAAGCGCTGCAGATGTACTCCTGAATGCTGACCTGATTTGAGTCATGACCTGAGGCTCTTGAAGCAATGAGTATATTGACTATTCAAAATTCCCAGAACCCCTTGAAAAAAAAATGAACATGCCCCGGAAGTTAAACGTCCAATTTCGAAGTGAGGATCTCCGCCAGAAACAAGCAGAAACGTAAGTTACCAGGAACAAAAGTAAATAAATATACAAAACAAAGAGCTCCGTAAACATTTTTAATAAAGGGATTGAAGGAAATCGAGTTAGAACCTTTTGAGAAGACGGTGAAGTTTCCATCGGCTCACCATAACAAGCAGTTAAGGAATTGATTGCGAGTTCCTCATTCAACGACTTGACTCGAGAAAAAAAANAAAAAAAACTTGGTTATGATGAGAAATGTTTCAGAATTAATAAAACTCTTACCGGAGGAATAACAACAGATTTTATAATTTCTTCCAATCGCGCGGGTGACTCCTCCGACAACGCATCTTCTTAAACGAAGAAATGAATTAAGCTGAACTATAACTATAACTACTACAGCATTTGAAACTAACGATCAATCACAGCAGCTACATCGCAAGTGCCCACTGTCTCCTCTTTACTTTCACGGCGCGAAACTCTATAATTAGTGGATGTTATGATTTTCCAACAACCTCAATATCACTTGATGTGAACACTTGTCTTCTTAATCAGCCTAGTGATTATAACGAATGTTTTGGTGTTAGGTGTATTGAAAAACCTGTATAGCTGTGGGTTATTTCATGTTGTATAGTAGTTACAGCAATGTTTAGAGAACCAACAAAATTTTTAGCCGAATAGGAGGGCAACACTTCTGGCTGAATTTAGGCTTGACCGAAAGACTAAAAACAACTCGGAACATAAACAAGCCGAGGAGTGAAAGGCTTTTGCTTAAAAGTGCACTTCACCATCGTTCTGAAAGTTTTTAATAGTACCCACAAGATGTGTAAGTTTCCAACTTCACTCGGCTGTTGGGGGCTATCGAATACAATACAAATAACGAAAACGAAGCATTAATTGCAAGGTTTTCATTTAAAGTTGGATTTCGACGAATGAGTTTAGTACAAATTGACGAGCATCCTCGAAACTATCCTCATGAGCTCTACGCGCCACACCTTGTGTGTATGCGATGAAGAGAGGATAATTTGTGACTACAGAGATTAAAAATCTAGTTGCAATGGTGTGACATCGTGTTACCATCCAGCAATCGATTCCCCAACCTAGGCAATATAGGGGAGCTACAACAGCGTTAAGAAGCTCCTGAACACGAATACCCTTATTGGCACTGATGACGTCATTTTGGTGATCCTTGTAGCACCCAAGAAAATACAAAAAAAGATATTGCTGAGCAACAAGGTTACGATGCTAACAGAAATCTATGAGCTTACTGTCAAGGAAATCCTACAAACTTCTTATAGTTTACTACCACTGCAATCGAAAATATGTGGGAAAAGCACTAATGCGTATGGAAGTTCAAGATACGCTGAATGAGATATTACTGCTCACTAGAAGCGCCCTTGGAAATCTGTTTGTACACATAACATCTGAGAAGCTCAGGGGTCGTGTACCAAGAAGTTGGGACAAGCCTCACGATTTAGGCAAAACAGTTGCAAAAGTGATTCGCGGCTTCCGGCAGAGTAAAAAATGAAGTGAGGAGAGATGGCAAATCCTTTCGTTCAGAGCTTTCGTGAAAAAATCTGACTATCTTGTTGGCGGTAACGTCCTGGAGTACGCTTGACGTCCCGAGGAGTCCATCCAAGAACCGCCCTAGTCCAACGGTCGTTATTATATTGTATGACGTGTCCAGTAGGCCTGATCTTCTGTTTCTCGGCGCAATGGACGGCATCCCTGACCTTCATTAGCTGACGGAACTCGGAACACCAAATTCCCTTCTGCACTTGCGTGCACAGGGAAATTCTGAGCATGGTACTTACCGAAGCGCGCTGGGTAACCCTACACCATGTTCATCCTGCCTTCATAGACTCCAAGTCTCTGAAACGTATGTAAAAGCAGGAAGAATCGCAGTGTCGAAAAAGAGAGTGCGAAGCCGGAGCTCCTCATCATCGCCTCTACTCCCTCGATCACCTACGCTACATGTCCATCTTCATTTAGAGTTCCCTCTCACTGAAGGATCCCAGCCGGTTGACGAGAGGCTACATAGGGCGTCCTTAGATGGCGGATAGAATAGAAAATCGCCTACCAAGTTGCCAGTACTTGCCCAGAGACGCAGGCGCCTTCAGGGTATGGATTCCATAATTTTGTTGCGCTGGTGAATATATCAGCTGTTTCTCGCAGGTGTATCCTCGCGTATGTGGAGAGTCTGCGGGTGCAGTTGGTATCCTGCCAAACGACTCAACCAAAAGCTTGCAAAGCATCTGGGAGGCGATTCGGCCCGCCTCCAAGAACAAAGTTACTCGTCCACTTCGGGACCGCCAGGCTAGCACCAGGAGTCAACTCAGCCCCCACGTCAAAGAAACAAATGGGCCTCATCCCCTGAATTTGAGGAAGCCCTAAATACGTCAGCGTTGGGTAGGAACGCTAATAGGGGGCTGCTGGAACCTCAGGGCTGCCCAAAAAGGGAAAGACATAGATGGTGATCTGTACTTCCAACGCACGGAAGCGTGTATAGAAGACCTGATGATGCAAGCTAGTAAGATCAAACAGGGCGTCATCGGACTGACCGAAAAGGGAAGGCATCTCCTGCTACACGCTGTATTTGAGACTGGAAAAGAACTGTTTCTTGGAACATGCGACAGAACAGACGTCGGGGTGAAGGCGACCTCGTCAGCACGCACTCGACCATGACCATAGATTCGTACGAAAGCTTAACAACCCGAATCGGACGTTTGCGATTAAGAAGATGTGGCTCATCTCCAGTCTTCGTTGTCTACGCACCAACATGGAGAGGAGCTGGAATCCTTCCATGTGAATCTGTGGGGCCACTACAGAGAAGACCATACTTTCTTCATGGTCAATGTCGGTGATTTCAAAGTCAAGACTGGCCCCAGAAAAACGGCTGAAGAGCTGTACATCGGGACTTACGGAATAGAATGGAATGAGCAGAGTGAAATGTTGTCCGAGTTTATCATCCCGATATACACCATCCACGGTATCTCGCAGTTCCAGAAGCTATCTCATTTGCGATGGCCATGGCACATGGTGGACAGTCCCATAATGAGCTGAACCGCATCACCTTTGATCGGAGGTTTTGCCTGACTTATACCGCTGTTGTTCCAAAGGTCTACATGGGATCGAACCATCGTCTCCTCTGGGGTAGATTCTGCTTCTCAGTGTGTGGAGAAAGAGCTTGAAGTTTAGAAACTAAGCTTCAAGACCTGGGACCATCAATTGGAACCATTTCGCCTTCTGCGAGTGAATGGGGCGATTCCGTTAGCGACAACATCGATGAGAAATACAACCGGCTCGTCGAATATCTTCACGATAGTGCTAGGGAAGCAGAGTCTACAAGTAACCAAGATACGACTCTCTTAGAAAGCTCCTGAGCTGATACTTCAGCATGCAATCAAATGCCCACTCACACTCGAAAACCATTCCACAATATGCTATAGGGTACGACAAAATTATGAAATCAAAACAAGGGGGGGGGGGGGGGGGGGGGGGGGGGGGGGGGGGGGGGNGGGGGGAGGAGAGGCGAAGTTTCAACCGCCCCGAGCTCTTCAATTTGAGATTCGGCTGTTACGCTATTTGGTTCGACATAAACACCTTCATCAGCTATCACTATCATTCCGTTTTTTTCTTAAACGAGGAGAAAGTCATGGAATCTCGCAAACATCTTCAAGGTGTTAGAGCACATATCTATCAACATCTCTCGCTGTTTGAATCTGTCAGGAACTGTATAAGCGTAGTGCTAATGAGTATCAAGGAGTTCGCGGAAATGGGAGTCCTTTCTCATCAATCTCGAAGTAGAAGGCCTACACTTGCGACCACCAAGCTTAACAATAAAAACGTCGCCCATCGTCTACAGGTCCCTTCCCTAAGCCTGAGTTTGCCCGGGTGTGATGCGACTTATCGGTTATGCGGTGTGATGTGATGAGGTATGCTGCTGCACTGCTTTGTTCTCATCATAAAGTACAAGTTTGAACGCCCTAGGGCCAAATTGACAATTTCCGCATAAACCCCGCCACATATGGGCGAGGTCCGGCTCTTCCACCCACCATAGGTGTTCCGATCCTGCCGCCTGTATTCCCAGCAGTTTGAGCGCTCTAAGTCCACAGAGACAGGAGTTTCCGGTCGGGCACACACACCTACACACATCCACACACAAACACACAGACATTAGCGCGATATATATAGTAGGATCAGTGAGACAGTGGTTTAAACAGAGCCCCGATTCCTCAAAGGCAGCAATGCAGAAAGCTCAGAATGAGTTCGGTGCTATCTTCGTCTTCGTCTTGGTCGACGCGCTTCTAGAGCGCCTCCGAGCCTGTGTGAAGTAGATGTAGAATTGTTTCAGAATTAAATAGCGCCTACTAATCTTTCTTCTTGATCTTGGTTTTCTGAAGAGACAAAGAAAACCACTTGTTCTCTATTTTGGGCTCAAACAGCGGCTTTTCGTGGCAATTCTTTTATTTTTTGCCAACCCCGTATATTCAATTACCCACGTGGGAAGTATTGTGGTGGTAAAGCGATGGAACGAATCCAGGTATTCGAATTTGAGATCTGTAATCAACGAAGTAAAGCGTGAAAGTTTCATGAAAGAACGTCATAATATATTTCAACAGACATGGAGTTGAAACAGTTGCCAGTCCTGCTCAGCTCGGCCGAAGGTAAAATGCGTGTATTGATCTTCAATCATTTATGTTGTCGAATCGCAGCACGTTCAACAATTTGTAACCTTTTTCTTGTCCAAACTGACGCTACGCTATGAGATGCTGCGTACAAAACATGCGTTCACAACAGGTTCCTATAACAAGCGACAGATAATCATTCAGAGAGCTCTTGAGAGAACGACTCATAATAGTGGGACTGGAGCAGTGCGTGAAAAAGAGAAGAGCGAGGCAATAAGTGTAGACGTTCGAATAATGAGGGTAACAGAATATTCATTTTTGCCTGCAATAGTAAGCAAATACAATATGTTCATTGGATGTTTCATGTGCATCAAGGTATTAACAAAATATGAGATAGCAATACTTACGGCAGAACATGAAGATTGTTTAAACAGTTGAATTCCTCAGTCCATAACGTAACTGCTCTCTGCAAAGATTGCAGTGGATCATAGACTCGAAGAGAGTCGGGCTTATCCACGGTATTAGGCATGCAACTCTCCGCGTCGTTATTTATTGAGCCTAAAAGGAAAGCAAAAAAATCATACCTATCCTTTTCTCGCATAGTTTGCAGAAATCAAGGTATTGGGTAACATGAGAACGAGCTCTATTTCTTTTAAGATTCAGTAGTCTCAGTCGATAGCAATTTACCTGTAGGTGCGGAGTAAAACACAATTTTGAAACACTCGTCATATAAAGGAGGTATTCCAAATCGCTAAACCCGCACTGATTTCTGATGTTTCTTATACACTCAATGATTTGAATACCACTAAATTTCCCATCTACACTGATTTACAATAATCATAAAGCCACATCCGAAAACCTGAATATCACTAAGGCTCACGTTCCAGGGCATTTCAAGGAAAGGCCTAATATGGAAATTGGGCTCACTCGGACCGTAACTTGTAGACCAACAACGAGTACCATCTTGATAACGTGGGCAATTTTCATACCATTCGGAAAAAGTCACTTTGCCTATATTGCAAATGATAAGGCCACTTCATTTTTCCGTCGTGTTCAAATTACGGCTTACAGAAATGCTTCATTTGTGTCAAGTCTATCATATTCAGGTAATGAGTAAAGAAAAGTTTATCCGATTCCGACAAAGGTCAAACTTTTGCAAAAGAAAAATAGGAACTGCCGAATAGCAAAATCGCGAGCCGATGCCACTCGTTTGTCAACAATTTAATCAAGAATCCTATAGAGTATGGTAACAAAAAAAAAAGCACGGGACGTCTCTCGTTTTTTTCAAAAGGATATAAGCGAAGGATTTTGAGAGAAGCGTTGAATACGATGAAGTCTGTACGGAAATCAAGTCTTTTACGGAACTCAATGTCCCAATGCTACTGTTTGGAACGTGGTAGAAAAAGCCATAGTTTATCGCTGACGGAAATAGGGGAGGCATTCCTAATGACCGAAAAGCACCGCAATACCGGGTTGCTTTTGGCAGAGTTGCATCCTAACCAACAAAAGTAAGAAGCCTTTTCACAACTTGTCGTTTACTCTTCATTCTCCGATGTTTCGTTCTCCAGATTGCTTTTTTTTGAAAATGAAAATGAAAAACATTAGATGTGATATCCCAGATGAAGCAAGCCGGCTCTACTGGCACGATCTGCGAAAGGACAAGTTCAGTTCCCCAGAAGAACTTTCAAGGGAGGAGGAGTCATGGTATGGGCGGCAACTTCTCCTCGTTATTGTCTTCGTAAATGAGGACGTTAACGAGAAGCCGCCGCCGATACCATGACTCCTCCTACTTAAAATGGTTTGTTCCGAAGCTCAACTTTATGGTTTGCTCCGAAGAAGCCCAGCTCTCCCGGTTATCGAGTCATCATGCGCCGTGCTCTTCTTTTTTGGCGTTGGAATTGGCAGCAGAACCTCGTATTAATGCAGGATAGTGCCCCGATTCACGTCAGTCGGTTTAGTCAGCACCAAATGGACCTTTTGCCCTGGCTGGCTAACAGTCCTGACTTGAATCTAATGGAAGACGTATGGGAATTTACGATGGAGAAGATTTATGAAGTAAACAAGCAGCCGGAGGTAACAGTGAGCTGAAGAAAGCAATTGTCAACGGTTGAGGCACCAAGGTGACCAAAACTCATTGGTAACCTTTACTTCAGCTTACGCAAGCGTATTATTTTTATACTTACTAAATCTTTTCATTTTCAAGATGATTCGAATGAATGGGGGCTCAAATAACTACTAATCATGCAACATCCTCCCTCTGCCGTCATTTAGCTGCTGAATGAACGATTTGGCCAGTGGCTTTGTCATTTTGCAATA